AAAAAAAAAAAAAAAAAAAAAAAAAAAAAAAAAAAAAAAAACTGACAGTTTCTCAGCTGTCCGTTTCGGGAGCCACGTGGAAGTAAATACTGAGCAGCATTGTTCTCCGAAATCCAGTGTTATTTTAACACTCCCACTTACAGTTTGAATACGGAAGTTCGGCTCCAGATCATGCAAGGAAATGGCAAAGATAATTCCAACCCAGAGATCTCGAACCTTGCTTGCTGTCTTAATATCTGCGCAACGCCAACCCTTATTCGCTTCGCCCCGCCAGCCTCAAATACCCATATTTGAACCAGTGGCAGCAGACAATGCCTTCACGTATACTGGCAAGTCTCCTGCAACTACGGTGGTCCTTCTTCAGGTACTGCTTTGAGAAAGGCGGAAGCATGTAAATCCGACCTTGCAGGCAGCAGACGGGAAGAGTAAATATTCTGAACGAACGGCTGCAAGCATCTCTCGAATGTAATGGCTGCAACTCTGAGCTATCAAGTGTCGCATCCGAATACCTATGTGAACTCTGCCACGCTTTCAAGAATTATCTATTAGCGATCTATGAACAAGAACATATAAAAACCAATACTGCACTCAGAGGCAGTTTAAGTATTTTGGAGGTGTGTGTGTGTGTTTGACGCTTTATTTAAAGGCAACAAATTTGATTTGTTTCATTCTGGTCCGTCACACTAACAATTACAAATATAAATCACTCCGTCCAATGTGACCTGTAAGTTTTTTAAGTTTTCATATAGTAAAAAACTTACAGGTCACATTGGACGGAGTGATTTATATTTGTTAAAGGCAACAAGTTAATGTCGTCCCTGTGCTTAACTAACTAGCACTACGCTATGAAGATGTATGGGGGAGTGGATGTATAGCTCCATGAAAAACTTTTATTTAGTGCAACCAATGAAGACAGAGCAGAAAAAAAAACACATCTTTGTTGCCAAGGTAAAGTTCTCCCTGTGATTAACTATTTAAGCACTACGCCATGAAGGCGTATGAAGGAGTGATGTATAGATCCACATTTTCTTGACTTCGGCACTAGCTGGAGGTGAGTGGTCAGCTTCGCGCCCCTGCCGCTTTACCCCTGGGGAAAGAGCCCCGGTACCGATTGTATAGGAAGTTGGGTGTACCCCAGAGCTGGTCTAGACAACGTTGAGGAGAGAGAATTCTTGACCTCACCTGGATTCGAACTCCGACCCCTCAGTCGTCCAGCCCGTAACTAGTCGCTATACCGACTACGCTACCCCGGCTCCAATTTTTGTTGTATTTACTATCACAATTTATACTTAATTATGGATATGCAAGCACTGCCGCAGAAAAAAAACTGAAACTTAGTGATGAGGCCGGAAATAAAATTTATTTCCCTACTTTATGGCTCATGACAGGGACCAGTGGCGGGCTCTTGTTAACACGGTAATGAACCTTAGTGTTCCACAAAATGTTGGGAAATTGTTAAGCAGCTGAGCGATTGACGGCTTCTCAACAACGGATCAGCTTAAAGGAGTTAGTTATCAACAAAAAAGTATCACTACGACTGAGGAAAACCATGAAACAGGCCAATAAGGACAGCCAGTGACATCGCCAAGATTCGAACCGAGTACCTCCCCAAAGCAAACGAGACGCGAAAATTAACTGCAGCAGAAACTTCTTATAAACATTTATATGCTACTTCTATTTCCATGGACATATTTTCTACTGATGTGAAGGGCCAAGGAGGGCTGTGGCTCTGCAGATGTTACTCAAACAAAACGGTTTGCAGTCTCAAACCTGGAATTTTTTTTCCTGTCTTCCCGTTACACGATCTACGACCTTACTTTCATATTCAAACTGTAAGTGGGAGCGTCAAAATACACTTGCTTCCAGGGAACAATACTGCTCAATATTTACTCTGTATTGCAGACTATACAGAGAAAGAGCTTCTGTTCCGCGACGAACACGTGGCCAGCAACTTACTTCCTATTTCCAAAGAACATCAGGGAAGGTGCAGTGTATTACAGACATAACTAACGCATACTTCAGAAGTCAGAACTTCACACATTCTTAAAAGTTCATTAATTAATCTTGTCAAACTGTTTCGACTTGACGGGTTGTGTTCAGAACTGATTTTCACACATTTTATAAGCTTTGCCTTATTCTTTTCCTCGTTTTGTGCTCAAGAATCTTAAATTGTCTTGCTCAGTCTGTCCACATGATATAACCAGTTTCCTTGACAATAATCAGCTGCAATTATTAGCCTACTTTCCTAAAGTAGACTTATGCGATCTCCATTCTATCTGTCTGTGTATTCCCCCCATCAGTATGTGTCTGTATGTGCATCCCTCCTACCGTTGCTAGGCAGAGGCCCGGTAAAGCGTATCCATCCTTTCTTTGCCAGACACAACGACAACAGAAGAATTGTTGGACGTCATTTTCTATTCGGTCCGTGTGTTATCAAAGGAGAGTCTGTGGGTCTGTCTGTGTATCCCCTCTCTCGTTGCTAGGTAACAACAGGGTAAAGACGTTGGAGCGGCAATGAAGAACTGCTGGAGGCGTCGTTTTCTATGCGATCCGTGTCGTATCAAAGCTGAGTAGGCGATCAGTTCTCCCCAGAACTTCTCGTTTTACTTGTAACTAACGATATTATATAAATTGTCGCATATCCTCTCTGATATGACAAGCTCAGACGAATGCCCTCATGGACACCATTTCTTCTGCGTTTCCGTTTGCGCTCAGCGTAAAGCTTGATTGTCTACTAATGACCCTAAATAGATTAAAACTAATTTCAAGTACATCTGACTTTAAATGTGGGCCAAAGTTTTTGGTCTCAAAGGGGGGAGGGATTTTCAGAATCATGTTTTAAGATGACATGGTTCGGGTTTTCCTACAACTACGTTAACAATAATTTCCGCGACAGACCCACAGTTCTCAGAATGTATTCTAATAAATAAAAGTTCCTTACAGAAATTAAAGTTTTAGTATAAAAGGTCTAAAAAAAACGAGATTAACGGCCTTGGGGATACGTTGGGCTGACCACGTGACACCCTCTATCCGCGGTCGCTCGGTCGGTATAGTTCACTTGCGAACTACATGCCACGGAGTTTGTTTATTTTTGTACAAAAGGGTGGATTGTGTGTTATTCTACGATGCTGTAGCTTAGACTGTATGGTGTCCAACTTATTTATGGAGCTGAGCCCTTCTTGAAGAGAAGCCAAACCTGCAGCTACTCAAAAATTTCCCAACATTTTATGGAACCCGAAGGTTCGTTACCGTGTTCACAAGAGCACTCCACTGGTCCCTATCCTGAGCCAGATCAATCCAATCCCTATCATTCCATCCTATCTCTCTAAGATACATTTTAATATTGTCCACCCACCTACACCTTGCTCTTTTCTAACTTTCCTACCAATATCCTATATGCATTCCTCTTTTCCACCATTCGTGCTACATGCCCTTCCCACTTTATCCTCCTTGACTTGATCATTCTAATTATACTTTGAGAAGAGTACAAGTTATGAAGCTCCTCACTGTGCAGTTTTCTCCAAACTCCTGTGACTTTATCCATCTTCATATGGCATCCAACAGTAGGATAAATGATGAACTGCAAAGGAGTTGGATGGAAGTGGTCGTAGCCTGATCAAGATACTATCCCGGAATTTTTCTCAAGGGGCGGAGCAAAACCACAAAAAAAAAAATCAGTCCCGACCGGGAATCGAATCAAGCAACCTCCGGATACAAACCCAGGGCGATCTGTTCGGTCTCAGAATATAAAGAATAATATCAGAATTGTTTAGAGTCCACAAATACGAGAATCGCCGGTCACCCGGCATTTGCTAACATAAAAAAAATCGATCCCCCCCCCCAAAGCCGGCGTCTAACCGCCTGAACTACAGCATGGCCACACATACTCTGACATATAATTACACGGTCTCGTGTTCAGCGACAAAAATCAATAAGGCCAAGGCCGGTTTCACTGCTATTAAGCATTGTACTAACGCGTAAAATATATATTTATGTTCGAGGTCAAATGAGGAATAAAGCTGCATGTAACTGCTTCATGTATCCCACTCAATCGACTGTTACAAGGCAGGTTAAACTGTAGATTTACGGTTGGTATACTGCACGTACTACGGGAACGAGTGTGCGTCATCAATTGATGACGTCACCGTCAACATAACCTATTTGTAATTTAGCTGTATCCTTTCATTCATGGTTCGAGCCTCCATTTTGTCGCTTTCCAACAGGTATTCGCATCAAAATTCTAAACACTTGTTTACACTACGGTAGATATATGTCCAGTCAGTTGTTAATTTTGATGATGATATTAGGCAGAAAGGATGTATTACTAAACACCCAATCCTGGATTGATGTTAGGAAAGTGTTAATCATGATAACGTTAATGGTGAAGACGAGTTTCTATGGCTCTTAAGCCCGGCCAATCTCACACTAAATGGATGGCGAAATCAACATTAAAGAGGTAGGAAGCTGGTTCCCCACAACGTTTATGTCCACCTCCAGGACCTTACAGTGCCACAACCCAGAAGACCACAATCTGAACACACACACACCGGTATGTCAACCTTAAAACTATCATGTTACTTCCTAATCATACCACCAAACATTTGCCAGTAAGGACAATAATATTTAGGCCCAACTATTTTCATTTCAGTACAAATTTCACCCTTCATATTGTCACATATTAGGGGTTGTGTGGCTAATAATAGGTTCTGGATTGGATCATTGGATTTACTGACACCTTTTACAATCACTCTTAATTACAATCAATTACAACAGCTCACAATCAATGACTGCCAAAGTCTTGTTCCATTCCTTATTGCACTACAACTGTCTTCTCTTTTAGTTTTCCTTCTATGACCGACATGGTTCTGATTTATGAATCACTCACTTCTGGTTTACCAATGACAACTCACTTACAAATGAATGCCGAACAAATGTGTAGAGTTAAGAGTTACTTTATGACTGGCAGACTACCACAAATCACTTTGTCTTGGCGACAATCCCTTTGAGACTCACAACCAGTATTTTTTTTCAAGTGTACAGTTGCGGTTATGATCCTTATGTAACAATGAATGTGTACTTATCTGTATGGCCGCTTATATAGTCTAGCAGTAATCTAGGAACACGTTTGTCAAACGCCCACTGACACAGAAATGTGTTCCGTACAGAGTCGGTCTCCAGGAAACCAGCACCATGCAAACGTGTTTTGTACTGAGTTGTTACCTACAAACGGCCTACATGTCACAATATATTAACAGAAAGCTATCGTCATACAATGGTATGATTCATTACTTTCCTGAGCTTTAAACAGGAACTGATGTATTCTACATGAGGAAGAGTCTGGTGATGCTCTCCAGCATGTAATGATGTTACAGAGTCTGCACACTGTACTGGTATCAATTGAAGAAAGACTACGAGCCCTTGACACACTATATTCACCAAGATACACACCAAGATGGGAGATCAGTATCGAACAACAATCCAGAAGGATGGAGACAATCGAGTCACGACTCGGACGATTGGAAACACTGTTAGAGCTGCGACTGGACAAGTTATCAGAGGTGATATGGCTTTTATGTTATGTCAGAAATGGTTAGCTACTGCTCACATCATTAATATTATTCCTTCATGCTTAATAAAGTTCAGCATCTTTGGCTGGAAACTGTAGATGTTGTTACATGGATTCTTTAAATTTGGCAGACAATGAGCGCAAGACAACTGAAGGAGGAACTGTCGAGAGATCAAATTAACCGGAAACTTGATTCAACATATGAACGCCTCAACCATCGCTTGAGCTACTTGGAGGCAAGGCTTGATGTAAGCGTTGCCAAATTACAGGTGATCATTAAAAAGATCTTACTCTCTACTTGTAGTCAGACATTACAATGCCAGTATGAAACAGAAGCTTTGTTCTTGACAATATTAAACTCCATGCCTTTGGCTGCAAGCGAAATATACCAACCGAGCGACCGCCGCTTGTCGACAGAGTGCCAAAAATGGTCATCAAAATTCAAACTGGGGTTTCTTTTAACTAATTCCACATACTGAACTCAACAAGGTATATCCATTTCAAGCTGAACACATTTACAATCTACTTGTCTTTGGAACATTATTATTGAACCAATAACATGTGTCTATCAGTGTGTTCTAATACAAAGAAAAAAGAAGTTTGCAAGTTCCATTTTGACCTCTGTACCAAGTATTTTCTAAGTAAACTTCTTCAGTAGTGCAGGCATAAATCCTTCTGAACTATCCATTTGACAAAAATGAACTGAAATCAGATTTTTAATAACTATAATTCATAAATAATTTAGTAAACAAATGTACTTGAAACTAACTCAATTTCTCATAATTTCAGTCAACTATTGACACAGGTGTAGGGAGAATGGAACGTCTTGAAGCAACAGCTGCAGGACGTCAAGGTGATATAGAAGCAGAACTGGCTGACATTGAGACAGGAATTGATGAAATTAAGAAACATGTAACAGCATTTGAGGAGCAACATAACAGAAGTCTGGTAAGGTGACTACTATAATAAGCAACATAAAAGAACAGCAATTTGGATAAGTATTTATTTGATTGATGTTCTATATGGCTGTATGTTCAAAGGACCCCTACAAATTGACAGATATAAAACACCCAAAAGCTGCTTAAGGCTCAAGCTTTTTCATGTTTCTTTGCACGAGTACTTTACGATTTTTCAAAGTGTGTGCAGTTAGAAAATTTAATTACAGATTAAGTTTAAGTCATTTAAGAATATTTTTACTAAGTGTCCTAAAGTACTAAGTACAGTCAATAATTAATTTGGATTTTCCCCTCTCAAAAATCCAGGAATGGGGGGGGGGGGGTAAACGTCTGGTTTATCAATATGTCTGTAATTTTACTATAAGGATTACAACAAACATCTGCCATCCTTTACACTTCTCTGTGCACAATTTCTTTAGTCTTGTATACTGGCATATGTAAACATCTGTAACAACACTGAATTATTATATGAATTACACTGAAAAATTTGCATTTGAATTCTTATGCTTTTCCAAATTCCTGAGTTTTCATGATTTATGAGACTCATTGTCACCATTGTTAGCAGGCATCCATACACGTACTGTTAAAGAGTTCTCCATTTTAACCTTCACATAAAATCACTCTCACTCACTCATTAAATCAATCAATCAATCAATCAATCATAATGAATGATACATACATGTGTTAATCCAGGTAACAATATTAGAAAATGGGAAGCAGATAGCAACAGAAATGGATAATTTAACAACACTGGTGGAAGATCTTCATGTGGAGTTCAACAAAACACAAGCAGTATCTGAGCTGAATGATGATCAGGGTACAAATCATCAAGAGGCACTGAGGAAAAACATGAATCTACTGGTTGATAAAGTGATAAGCGGCATTGACAAAAATGCCAACAACTTTATCACTAAGGTGAGACTGCCAATTACACTCCCTTATATGGTTTATATGACTCCCTTGTCTAACTAAATGTGACACATCAGCCTTGTGAAAAAAAAAAAAAAAGTGCATGTGTAGTCACAAGAAATTTCAAGTTAAATAAGGTGAAACAACCGCAATACAAATATTCACCACTGCGAGAACCTCAAATCTCATATAATAAGGAGGTCCACAATTTGTACTCTTCACCTAACACTGCAAGGCAGTTCACATCTCTCTCTTATTCATGAAGCTGAGCCCTTCTTGAGAAGCTACCAATTGTGCAGCCACTCAAGAATTTCCCAGCATATTATGGAACCCAAAGGTTCATTACCGTGTTCACAAGAGTCCTCCACTGGCCCCTATCTTAAGCCAGATAACTCCAGTGCATGCCACCCCATTCTATTCCTCTAAGATCCATTTTAATATTATCCACCCATATACGTTTTGGTCTCGATGGTTTCTTTCCTTCTGGTTTTCCCATCAAAAACATATATGCATTCCTCTTCTCCCCATTCATGCTACATTCCATGCGCATCTCATCCTCCTTAACTTGGTCATTTAGTTATACTTGGAGAAGAGTACAAGTTATGAAGCCCCTCATTGTGCAGGTTTCTCCAACCTCCTGTCACTTCATCTCTCTTCGGTCCAAATATTCTCAACACCCTCCAAAGGTGTCTCCACCTTGTCATTGTGGTAGGGCTTGCATGACTCTGTGACCTGGAGAGCTATGCTGGCAGTAGTTTAACTACCAGTAGTGTCGCCCATGCCAGAAAGGTCAAAGGATAGACTCCAGACTAAGAGAGATACCCTGGTCCTCAAGGATGGAGGTTGGGCATGAGGCTATCAACCTCATCCTGAAAGAATTTTGGAAACCTAACAACCAGCCTCTGGTCATCATGTGTGGATCCATTCCTATGGCAGCAACCATTGGTTATGGAAACTGGTTGTAGAGGAGACCAAGGCTCACACTGGGCTGTAGCGTCCAGTGGTAGATACGTAGGTATTCTCCTCTACACCCTGTTCTCAAACACTCTCAGTCTATGTTCCTCCTTTAATGTCAGAGACCAAGTTTCACACCCATACAGAACCACAGGCAAAATTGTAGTTTTGTATATTCTAATTATTATGTTTTTGGAAAGCAGAAGAGAAGACAACAGGTTCTGGACTGAATGGTAGCAAGCATTATGCGAGTTCAATCTCCTCTTAATTTCCTCCTGAATTATGTTTTGATTTGTTACTGTCATTCCCAAATATCTGAACTGTGCCACATTTTCAAAACATCTGTTACCTATTTTTATGTCATGATTCTTCCCTGCATTTTGGTGACGAGAAAGCAACATATACTTAGTTTTCTCTGTGTTTACTTCTAGACCAACCTCCTTACTTGCTTCAATTAAAGCTTGTGTTTTTTATGGTATCTATATTATCACTCAGTATATTTACATCACCAGCAAAGACCAACAGCTGACATGTCCCATTTAATTTCAACCCCACCTGGTTTTCCCGGACCTTCCTAATGGCATATTCTAAAGAAAAGTTGAAAAGCAGTGGTGATAAAGCATCTCCTTGTTTTAGACTATTCTGGATAGGAAAATTATAAGACAAATGTTTTTCTATACAGACTTCACCATACATTTCGTTTAAAGATATTTTAATCAACCTAACTAATTTCATGGGTACCCTAAACTCCACCAGAATATTTTACAATACTTCCCTCGTAACTGAATCATAGGCTTTCTTGAAGTCTATGAATAGATTGTATTGTCTCATTGTACTCCCATTTTTCTCCCAGTATCTGACGAATACAAAAGACTGCTCAGTAGTTGATCTGTTGTGTTGAAACCCAATAATTTCATCTACATGTGGACTTAACCTTGAGAGAAGGATATTGGATTAAATTCTGCACCCCTTTTAGCATGTGGCCGTGGTAGCATAGTTGGTTGAGGCACCATGCTATAAGCCACAAGGTCAAGGGTTCGATTCCCAATGAGGTCATTGGACTTCTTCAATTTACCTAATCCTTCTAGCCATGTTATGGCCCTGCAGTCAACTAAGCCTCTAACAGAAATGAGTACTAAGAATCTTCCTTGGGGGTAAAGAGCAGCTGGTGCGTAAGACTGACCTCACCGCCATCTGTGAGCCGATTGTCTAAAAAATGTCAGAGCCTTGACGTCTCCCAACCCTATGGGCCTCCATGGCCTGCTAGAGGGATAACCTTGCCTTTATCTTACATTTTTTAAGCATGCTTTCTTTATTTTGAAAACATAAAAGGAGTGTTATGAGATCACCTTATTCTGTGTGTTTGTTTTTATTTTTATCCATTTCACTTGTACTCCTGCTCATGCTCTATATCAATTTTCATTCTCTCTCACATTTTTATTCCACACCATACAACTGCTCTCTTTGTGCCATCTCCCGCTGGTACTCTCACAGTCCTGATATTTGTCCTCCTTCCCTACACCAGGACCACTTTTTTCCATGCACAGTTTACTCTTCTACTGTGAAAATGGAGACAGCACACTGCTCTGATGTCACATCCCAGCCAATGAATTGACAACCTCAAATCTTGCATTCAATCTCTTCACTTGTGTACACTGGCCTATTCATCAGGCAAACAACATGTACAATGACATGTGGCGGCGTACCCAGGTGCTGGAGGGACTTGTGAAGGACTCCATGTCCCTATCAAATGCTACAAGGCGAGAGCTGCAGGATGGAATACGGTCTATTGCAGTTCAGATGGGACGACGTGGTCTAGTCCAGTCGGACAGAGACAGGCAAGAAGGTAAGATGGTGGTTTTATTATGGCAAGTAATGATTACACAGTTAATGTCAGGGGGGGGGGGAACACTGTGTGAAACAGCAGACTGCTATTACTGTATCTGTTCATATCAAACAATTTGCAGGATCTGAGGTTTTTGCAGCAATCATTATGAAGAATTCTATTTTCTGGGATATAACGCCATAAAGTTCAACCATGAAAACCTACGTTTTGGAGGAACATATCACCTTCATTTTCTGGGTTGAGCACAGTAAGCAAGACACTAGCATGAAGACGGAGGTGATCTAGTCTTCTGAAAACTGATTTTCACTGACATGATATATCATCTCATAAGACAGAAATAAATCTAATTACATTGTTAAATAAATAGGTTTAGAGAGTTCCACGTAAGTACTTCAACGATGGCTTAATAAAAGGGGTACTAGACCACAGAGGTGGCCAACAAAAATTCCTGCTGTAATGAAATCCCACAACACTAAAACCAGTGCTACAGATCTGCAGAAATTATGAAGTTTAAAATGCAAAAGTTATCAAAACATAAACATTAAGTAGCTGAGGTAAATGGGTAATTACTTACTTAATATTCTAAGAACAGGGAAAGTTTTCTCAGTATAACACCACTGGTTTGCATATTCAAAGAGATACAGAATACTTTGGTACTGGTTGTAATCGAACCTATATCTACATTAACTGTGCTTTGGTGTTCCCAGACTAATTCAAAAAGGAAATTCTGGCTTAGCTTACTCAATTTTGGCTGCCATCTTATTCAAAATAGTCTCCTTGGGAATGTACACAGCAAGGCCATCATTTTTTCCACACTTTCAATGCACCGTGGAAGTCATTTTTCTTAACGCTGTTGAGTACCGCTTGCGATTCCCTTTGGATGTCAGACACTGTTTCAAAACATCGTCCCTTTAGTTTCATTTCCAATTTGGCAAACAATGAGAAATCACAGGGGGCTAAGTCTGGCAAGTAGGGAGGATGAGTAATGATAACCATGCTGTTGTTAGTCACAAACTCTGTGGTTTTCAAGGACGTGTGGGCAGGCACATTGTCCTAGTTCTGGTCTTTCTAATCGCACATTTTTCTCAAGAATCTCAAAACATCACACTAAAAGTCAGAGTTGGCCATAGCATTAGGAGGAACAAATTCATAGTGAATAATCCCCTTCAAGTTGAAGAAAACAAATGAGAATGCTCTTTGTTAAAATCTGTCACACCTTTTTTGCTCTTTGTGACTGTGGGCTCTTCCAATGCAACAACTGTTGCTTTGTTTCTGGATCATAACCATAAATCCAACTTTTGTCACCCATTATGATCCTAGAGATAAAAGTTGGGCCCCTGTTAGCCTTCTCTTGCAGCTGAAAACACTGTTCACCTGTTCATGCACCAGTGCTTTTGATCATTTGTAAGGAGTAAGGGAACAAACTTTGCGGCAATGAGGTGCATGTTCAAATTTTCTGCTAAGATCTCCTGGAAAACTCCATAACTGAACCAAACAGTGTCTGTGAACTCATGAATTGTACAGTGACAATTTTCATGGATGAGTTCTCAAATTCTTTCAATATTTTCTCTTGTTTTGCTGCTGCTTGGTCGCCCTAAATGTTTGTCATCTTCAACTGACATTCAACCGCCCCTGAAACGTGAATGCCATTCAAAAACTGCTGTCTGGATTAAAGAATATTCTCCTAAAGCCTCATAAAGCATTACAAGGGTTTCGATAGCGGATTTACCAACCTTCATGCAAAAACTGATGCAGACACATTGCTTGATTTTGCAAATGACCTCATTAGTAACAGAAACCATGACCTTCTGGCTTGTAGCATACTGCCTCAACCAACTACAGCAAAATTATGGTACCCTGTCAAATTATGTGGTTCCACATCACAAAAAACCGCAATCTCAAGCAATCTATGATCATTTCACACAATACAAATAAACTCTACTGTATGAAAAGATGACACAGGCAAAAGAAGTTCAATTTCATATAGAATACTGCTTTATCATTCAGTTTCAAAGTTCAAATGTTGTCCTACAGATATATATAACAAAAAGAGAACAGCCTTACACTCTTGGTGTTAAACACACCGAGGGCTAGAAATGGCCAGCTAAGCCGTACAATGATTTCACACTATGCTCAAGGGAACAGTTAAAAGAATTTCATAGTGCATACAGGACATTACTACAGTGTCTTGTGAGATGAGTCTGGTTACCACCATTCAAAACCCACAGTAACTGGTATAATGGTTGCACTTCCATTATTATAATGCAGAAACATTATGGTAGGAACATAGTCTACAATAGACTTTTCTGAGTAATCTGTTATTACTATCTTCTTCTGCCTTGAAGATGGAGTCAGCAGGTTCCTCTGAGAAGTTGGTACCTATCTACCAAATCATATGGCATCACATTCCAAAAGACCATAAACTAGAAGTGTTCTGTCATGTGTAATATGATACTGTGTAGTCCGTTGAAAGTCAACTGACATTTTGGAGGAATACGCCACCTCTGTCTTCAGCTGCTTCATGCTGGTTTCTTACTTGGCTTATTCTTCTACCATGATGAAGGACTACAAGGTATTATATTCCAGAAGGCAGAACGCTTCATAACTACCGCTGTGAGAACCTCAAATATGACCGTAAACTTAATATTCATAGCCTTGGTAACCTCACAATCTCACATTTGTGAGTTATGTTTACAGGTTCAATGGATATAGCTCTAGACACACTGGGGCTAGTTCAGAGAAGATTGAATGAGCTTGGAAGAAAGTTTGATTCCAGCTTCCAAATGCTGATGCTTGCGCAGAATTTATTCCTTGAGAGCTGTCATCGTATTCAGCTAGATGAGCCACAACTAGAGATGAAACTCACAAAGGTGCTTGAGAGAATATTAGATGCCATCACTAACAGGTAGACATCTATTTGCCCAAACTTACATTTATAATTAGCTATTTGTATTCATTCCCGTTTTTATATCTAAACATATCTAATTCTGTTTAAGAGCAGACTGCACTAATTGCAATACAAAATGGTTATGATAATACAGGTTGATTGAAGAGCTATGAAACTCAATGCTTATACAATTTGTTTGATACAGGAGTGTGAACACAGACTGTGAGGTACAGACACTCCAAGAAGTATTTAAATCTCACAGTAGTCATCTAACAAGAATCCTCAATCAAGCAACCAACAAAATTCTTCAAGCTTCAGAGCAGAATAATGAGGACAGCAAACTTCTTCAGTTGTCAATAGCCAGTGTCAAAGACCACCTACTTGAAAGTAACAAGTACATTGTAGAGGCCATCACAGATATCAAAGAGGAGGAAGCAACAGGCACCGAAAGGCTCTTCAACATTGCAGCCAGTTTGCAGGTAGTCTCATGATCTTTGTTAGTAATCAGAGGTTATGGGGTATTGTGATGGAGGGAGAATGGATTGGGTTTGTATGACTTCTGCTATGCTGAATACAGGGGGATGGAGCGAACAACTGAAAGACAATGAATTTATTTAGGAACAAAATGAGAGTGTAACCATATGAAACACAGCAGGAGTCAGCTTTTGTTTTCTTTTCCTCCAGATTCTTTACTGTGCATATTTTATTTGCAGTTTTACAACCGCTGGCCAAGCAATGTACTAATGTGTCCCCCACAACATTTGAAAGATAGAGGAAAAAGCTTGCAGAGAGGGAACAGGTCACATACAAGAGAGGCCTGTACCCCTTATGATAAAAAAGCGTATTATTCTTCTTTACTGAAAATAAATACAACAGCAGCTAGATATAAAAACTGAGGTGCTGCTGTCATGCAAATAAATGCTTTTTATTTATCAGATGATCAGATCATCAGATGATTTTTGAGGAAATACACAAATGGTGACACTACATATAAACTACAATGCTAGTATATGACCATACTAGCACTGCAGTTTACATGTCTCACTATTTGTGTATTTCCTCAAGAATCACATAATGATGGCCTATCTGGGCTGAAATGTGTTATGAATTGTTAAATAAAATGTCCTATGAATGACACCAACCCCTCCATTTTTATTTGTAAGCACCACAAACAGGGTGCAACACTATAAGAATATAATGATAGCTTTACTTTGCATGCTTAGAAATAAATATTTTCAAGGCAACCACTGTGCTTGTTGACCACTGGGTGATTGCTTACTCCACCTCTCAAACATCATGAGATAAAAAGTGAGAAACGTGAATACAATCAATATACAGTGTATTCTTAACAAACTCAACTTTCTTCTTGAAGGAACTCCAAGAATCAGTTGCTGAAATATCAACCAGCAACAAAGCAGCCAAACAAGAGAGAGATAAATACAAAGATGATGTTGGAGATTGTCCAGACAGTGAACAATTAGTAGTAGAAATTTTGGCAGAGCTGAAAAGAAATGGCATTACAATAAACCATAAAACAGCAAAAGAAAATACAATGGCTGAGACAAACACAGGCAAAGATATAGAAATTGAATTTGATAGAAATGACTTATCTGGGACTGAGGAAGGATTTGGAGAAGAGAATGCTGAAGCAATTGTAAGAAACACAGGCAACAGCGAAGCAGAATCAACACTACTACAAATTATAAAACCTCCCGAGAATGTATCAGAAGCAGAGGAAACCTTAATGGAAAATGCAGAGCTTGGTTTATCCACTAGAAACACAAACCTTACACTGAATTCATCTTCATTTCAAGGACAACATCGATTTGATTTACAAATAAATAAAAATTCCACCATGGATGAAGCAGAAAGGGCCAAACCGGCACAAGTAATGATTCAAATCATTCCCCACAATATCAGCCTTCAACTGGGTAACAGTATTCGTGATCCATTGCTTGGACTTAATTTGCATAATGTTGCCGCTGTAATCCAAAATTCAGATTCAACAGTCATTCAACAGAGGTCACAACCAGATCTTGCAACTGTCCATGAAACTGCCTCCAGTGACAAAAACAGTACATATGTTACACAAATAAACAAAGATGACACAGACACAGAAGCTGACAGGGACTTGGAGCCTGATGCAAATGCATTATATGAAGAACAAAATTATATTAATGGAACATCTGCACATAACCAATCTGAGAAATCTGACGTAGCAGACAGGACAGAAGCACACAGAAGTGGAATATTAGTTGCAAGAAATAATGAAGAAATAACGAGGAACTATTCATCAAAGGTTTCAGAGCCTCCTCAAAATCCTGCAATAACAATTTTAGTAACAGACAAAGAGAAAAATGAAAATTTGTCAATAACAGTCATTAAAAAAAACAGAAGCAATGACGTGACTCACCTGTCTGAAACCAATCTTCCTACCAATCACTCAAGCTATAACTCCAGTCACAGGGGTCAAACATTTAACATTTCTGACAAAGAACACATTAAAACTTATGGCACAATATCTGTTACAAACATAACACACACAGCACTAAACAGTGTAACAGAATCCAATTCAAACAATACAGCCACTGTATCAGAGGGTCCAGTAACAGATCCTCTCAAAAGAATAACAGAACTTAATGTTCGTGAAGGAAAAGGTAACCTAACTATTGAAGAGTTCTGGAGAGTTTTACAACTGGCAAAAAAGCAACTCGATGAACATGGTAAAAATGACACAATGACAGTAAACAACCTCATCACTTTCACACAAAATAGCAATGAAAATCGAGATCCTGAACAGGTAAAACATAAACCTTCAATGCTATTTAGCACAGATGCCATTAAAAATCCAGTTTCTGCAATGAACGATACTGAAGACCAACATTATGACGTTCAGCGACACGAGTACCTCAGCAGACTTCAAGATCTCGCTACAGAATTGGCAAGCAGGGCAAATGGTTCATTTGAAGTAAAAGATTACTTCAACTTCACAAACACAACAGATGAAATAAGCGATGTCACTTCAGATGAAGGAAACAATGAGTAAACAGAGGAGAAAAGTCCGTATGAAGAAGTAAATATCACTGCAATGGAAGAGGGAAGAAACGCATAATTTCAATGGCCTAAGGCAGTTCTATACAGAAGGTCTGGCAACAAATTACTGTAAGCAGATAACAGACCATTAAATGGAACTTTATTCAGCAAACTTTTGTCAGATTTTGTATGAAAAGCAGATGTACTTTATAAGTATTAAACCATGAACATAAATATTATTTTCAAAACCCTTCAGTGTCATTGTTTGTCATTCCCCACTGGTAGAATTTCAGTTCATTCAAAGCTCCTGAGAGAGAGAGAGCGCGCGCGTGAGAGAGTGTGCACATGCAAATGAGACTGAACAGAAGGGTTTTAATTCTGATTCTGAAGAACATTTCACCTTGGATAATTTTGACATTAACTCTACACATGAAGAATTCTATCTTCTGAGATATAATGCAAGTCAACCTGTTCAAAGTGAACACACCACAAGGTGTTATATTCCAGATGACAGAACTCTTCATAACCACTGCTGTTGGGAACGTCAAATCCTACAAATGTATACAAGATTTAAAACATAGTGGTGGTAGTTTTATCTTCTGGGATACAATGCCATGTAGTCACTGAAAATCAACAGACTACATGGCATTATTTCCCAGAAGACAGAACTATTCATAACCACTGCTGTGAGAGCCTCAAATTAAAATCCTACAAATCTGTACATAGTTTAAGGAACAATAAGGATAGTATTCCAAAAAAATATTGAAGTGCGGCATAACAAGAGCAACCAAAACAGAGCTTCAGTACATCAAATATGAAACATGTGGACATTGTGGTGGTGAAGATTCGTACTGTGGTCTTCAGGGTTATGATACCATCATCAGGTTATAAATGCATCCAGAAGAAGAAGGGAGTATGTCTGTCTCAAACGGTGGTAATCACCTACCAGACTACATGGTGTCATAACACACAAGGCCACAGTATGAATCTACAGGACACCAGTTCACTATGGTGTTTGTAAGAGCCAGTCAAAAGACTGTAACCTAAGCCTGAGGAATCCAATCCAAATCCATCCTTTTCTTTAAGATCCATGTGAAAGGGACAAACCATATGTGATATGAGAGCAGGAGATGGGTAATGTAATTCAACCATAAGACTTACTGGCTATCTCTTGTACATAAAAAAAGTAAAGCTATTCCTGTAACAGGCCATGGAAGCCCATAGGGTTGTGAGAAATCGAGGCACCCACATTTTCTAGACAATTGGCTCACAGATGGCAGTGAGGTTGTCAGCCTTATGCAATGGCTGCTTTTTACACCAACGAAGATTCCTGGTACTCATTTCTGTTAAGAGGCTGAGTCGACCGCAGGGCCATAGTGCAGCTGGAAGGATTAGGTCAACCGAAAAATCCAGTGGCCTCATCAGGAATTGAACCTGCGACCTTGTACATACCACTCCCAAATAAATATAACAGAAAGACAGCCTACAAGGAGACTACAATAAACCATTCAAATGACTTGAAAACATTTTCTCAACCACATCAAAGCTGTAAAATATTTAACATCTATTTGGTTACTTAAAACTATTATTTTGGACTCTGTCCATTATCAAAGTTTATTCAAACCAATATATTTTGGAAACTGGTTACACATTTACACAGAGTAAGAAAGAATGCCTACTCTGCTGGGCCCCTTGGCAGAGTTACTCTCAAACTGTGGACCATGCAGGTTTAAAAAAAACTTGGAGAATGGAAAAAAAGTACAAATTAATAGTTTTAAACAATATGTCACACAATCAACAAAAAGCTTTAAAGGTTAATCTATACGACTGCCTGAATAAGTACTTCAGTATATCTGAAAGAGAGAGTTGTCACAGCCTTCTTAGTCATACAGTACATTTTTTGATTGAATGTTTAACATGATGCATACACTAACCTCAACCTTGGCACTGTTTTGGAAAACTGTTTGAGCCTTGTGTGTGAGCTGGGCAAAACAGGAACTCAACGTTGCCATCTTCTGGTGTGCTGTATAAACCATATCTGCTTCTCCAGAATCCAGATCACCTGCAAGCATCATAATTCATAACTGAATTGGGGATATCACCATATTATAATACAAAAATGATCCTTCCATAATTCAGAATGTTTTGAATCTGAGGTTTTCTACTGCGAATGTCTTTTCAGATTACTTCCATTTTGATCTATAAATTCTGTTATATAAATTCTGTTACTTGTGAAATCTGCAGTTCTGTCACAATCTCTTGATTTATTTTATGGTCTGCAAGAGTGTATCTCAGAGTTACTCATGAAATTGCTCAGAGATAAACCTGCCTCAATATCACTTTTATCAGCCACAGATTCCACAACGCATTAACCTGGGATTGAATCTGTGACTCCATGAGGAGTAACCAACAACTGACTGCAAGGGCTTTGGCATAGTCTCAGACCATCTGGTTAATCATGTTTCAGAACATAACTGCTGTTTATTCTAAGAATCATGCAGAACACATAAATATATTATGTTGGAGAAACCCTGAGCTTTTAAATATTAAAGGAAAGTGATATATACAGTTTCTACTATACTTTAAATGGTTAAAAAACAAAAAGTCTGTGCACCGCATACTCCCCAGTGATCGGCTCATTCTTTGGTTGATTTTCAGTACCATTTATGCAAACAATTTTTATGATACTTATTATTTCGTCCACTGTCAACTTTGCTACAACTGGTGGGTTATACAAAACAGCAACAGAAAAGTAAAACCTATAAAGGTTACCATATGATAAAGTTGCGAGAACCAACGTCTGTGCCATAGTTAAAGTATGAATACAAACCCACTGTCATAATCTAACGTTCCTCAGGGGCTGCTTAGCCTACATTAACCAAGTGAACCTAATCCTTACCAAAAACTGTTACAGTTTAATGTCTAATGTTGAAAACCGTGAGCATGTAATATATGCACCTCATACAACATATAAGGACTAGAGAGACAAAAGTGATTGGACTGGGGCATTCTCACAACCTACATGCAATAGAACGAAAGACCACAAAATATTACTGAGAAGGCTGGTGCAGCTGTTACGCTCTTGACTCTACCGTTTAAAGCGTATGATAACATTACACGACTGTGCGCATTTTACTATAAATAACTACACACATTAAACAAAATCATTCCCTTGAATGTATAAGGGGTGGGCCTTCTTGGCCCTTGCACGCGACCACAGTGATCTATTGTGCCTAAATCATTCCCTTACTAACACGTAACCTAAACTTTACAAGTTCAGCGATGCCATGGTGTCGGTATCAACGGCTGACGTCTGTCACACGTGAAAATTACAACCATAGTCACACAAAACTAACATTTTTGATGGCAACTACTGAAAGTTATGCGCATATGTGCGTACCTATTAGAATGTCCAAGTCTACAAATGCTTCATCAAATTCTTTTTCTAATATATCCAGCCACCTAAAGCTTATTGCAGTAGCAGCCATGTTTGCTGACAACTGACCCAACTGATGACGTGCGCAAGCCCGACCAGCCCGACTACATTTCATTTCATTACATTATATTACTTACATTACATTACATTACATTACATTCACCGGATCCAAAGTTAGTCAAAATGACTGTGAAAGGCAAAGTTGTCCCTGTGGTTAACTAATTAAGCACTCCGCCATGAAGGCACACGGGGGCAAAATGACTGCAGGTTGTGGAATATGTCATATAAATAAAAATAAACACAAATGGGGAGGAAAACGTATAAGCAACGGCAGAAAATTTTCAGTAATTTGTTTTAGGCAGTGTGGTGTGAACTCTAGGGAGGAAGTAAATTCGCAATATTTGGCCATGTTGTTGAACTTGATTTAGTTTACGTAAAGACAGTAAACAGTTATTACGGATATTGAATTTCAGGTTTCACAGCTTTCACAGTGTGCCAAACCGACAATTTTTAGAACTTTGTAATTCTGTTGTAGCACCTGAAGAATGTGTGATTTGTGTACGAAGGGTTTTTTCCAGCCAGTGCACTGATAGGTTTTGTGGTCTACATGCTAGGTGGTAGATCAACAGTTCTGTTCAGAATGCTTCATCGAAAATGTAGAAGTCAGTTTTATCCAAGAACAAATAATACCGTATCCCGTACATTTGTACCCGACGAAAAAGTTCCATGGGACATTATATGGGAAGAATACAATCCAGCAACATTCACAGCATCTCATATTAATGGACAACCGTGGGCAGATCCTGCCATAACAGATAGTAATTTTCATCCGCAATGGAATAGAATTGATGGTAATATAAACCGGAAAAGCCACATGGGACAGTATCAGATTGTAGACTTTCTTCCATTAAATCCATTAGGACGAACAGGCCTCAGAGGAAGGGGTGTGTTGGGAAGGTGGGGTCCAAATCATGCAGCAGACCCAATTGTAACAAGATGGAAGAGAGATGAGTCACACAATGTAGAATTTCATTCAGTGACAAAGAAACCGATTCTTCAGTTTATTGCCATTCAAAGAAGGGATACTGGAGAGTGGGCAATACCTGGTGGAATGGTTGATCCTGGTGAAATGGTTACATCAACTTTGAAGAGAGAATTCATGGAAGAGGCTCTGAATATATTGGAATGTGGCAGTGATAAAATAGAAAAGTCAAATGCCTTGATAGATAAGTTTTTTGATGAAGGGGAAGACATTTACCATGGTTACGTGGATGATCCTCGGAATACCGATAATGCATGGATGGAAACTGTTGCAATGAATTTTCATGATGAGAGTGGAACTTCAGTTGGTGCATTTCCTTTATGTGCTGGTGATGATGCAGTAAACGTTCGCTGGATGGATATCAGCAAAGAACTAACATTATATGCAAGTCATAATGATTTCATAGCAAAAGTAGTTGCAAAGCATAATTCACATTGGTAATTTTCACATTAAGGGAACAGAACGTATTGTAACATTCATAATATTTGTACCTCAGACTTTAATGGCAAATGTCACACGCATACAGGTTTGCAACTGACATTTTGCTTTTTCTGATTGTGCTGACAGGGGTTCTGCTTTGTATCACTAAATAATTATTCAAAGAATTCAATATTATCAAATTATGGTTTCTGAGGGACAGATACAATAAAAGATATTTGTGCCTTAATTTCACTGCTTTCATTCCTACATTCTTCAGATGTTCTGTATCACCATGTCTACACTGACAGATCAGTGCAAGGCCAAGGGCTGACCATAATAGGCATTATTTAATTTATGTATGTTTTCCTCTATTGCCACAGAGTCCTTGCAGGAATCACTGTACTAAGATTTACCTTAGGTGATGTTCATATTCAGATGGAATTTCCTGAAGGTTTATGATGCTCGACACAAAATATGAGGCTTAAACTTGGCAGCAATTAAGCATATGACCATGCAAGTAACTAGACTGCTGTTCTAATGTGAGCTACTTAAGATAGGGCAGGATCTGCTGTTCTTGGCCTGGACTGACACAGATCTTGTATGTATTGTACATGTGTATATAATGTATTCTACTATGTACTACATAAAACTAAATACTTTGTACATACTGACAATTGACAGAATGTAATATATATATATATAATGACATTCTGCTGACTGTGACTGACAAATGACCCATCCTCGTCAGACGGCACCCTACATCGACAAATCTGTAGTTGTGGGACAGTAATTAAAATCTGGTCATGAGAGCTCCAGATGGAGCTTGACACAAAGACAGACTGACAGACATGACATGATTCTGGCACTGTATGGTGTACACCACTTTGCAGTATGTACAAAGGAAAATGGGAAAAATTGACTCCTGTACCTTTTAACATTTTGCCAGACTGCACAGATGCCCTGAGCTCATAGTCCCCCACTCCAGCAACTTACAATTTCTGTCTCTTGGACGTGACATCATCTTTTAAAAGATTTTTAATATTTGTAAGATTTGAGGTATTCACAGTGGTGACTATGAAGAATGCTGTCTTCTGGGATGTGGCACCTTGTGGATATTTTGTAAACCGACATTTTGGAGGAACGTATCACCTCCAACTTCAAGGTATAGGAAATACGCGAGCGATGAACCAGCATGAGCAGATTCCTCCAAAATGTTGGTTAACAAAATATCTACACAGTGCCATGTCCCAGAAGACAGCATTCTTCATTTTAATATTTGCTTCCTGCTTGCTCGGCTCACCTTTTAACCCAGAAAATGGAGGCAGTGTGTTCCTCTGAAATGTCATTAAACTACCAGACATTATGGTATCATATTCCAGGAGACAGCGTTCTTCACAGTCACTGCCATGAGAACTTGAAATCTAACATGCATCTGTTGGCTTTTAGAATATAATTCTACAGTTCAAAACAAAAAATGTAATCAACATACATTTCAAACTTGCTGCACCTTAATCATATTTATACGTGTAACCTTCTATGCCAGGTAGGATTTGTGGTTCACAGAGCAGTGGTCATGAAGAATTCTGTCTTCTGGGATATAACGCCTTGTAGTCTTGAAAGTCAACTGATGCTTTGGAGGAACCAAGACATCATTTGATTGTTAATGGACTACATGGTGTTATATCCCCAGAAAATAGAACTCTTCTATGACAAGTCATGAATCTTAGATGAGCCTATAAATGGGAGAAATATACAGTAATTTGAAAACAAATATTCTAGGAATGTCTTGGAATTCATGCAGTAATTTCATTGTTTGGATAAAGGACTTAAGTAATCATGCTCTAGTTTTTAACAGGCAGTAATTTAAAGTTGTTGATATACATACATGCACCATGTGAAACACATCCTTAAAATATGTATATTCTTTTTCAACAGTAAATAAATAATTAAGGCTTGGTCCTTGGTCACAGTTCATCCAGTTTTGTCATTACACTGAATAAAAACAAAATTAAGCAGATGCTGCATAAGTTACTACTGTAAGGGGGCATGTTTTCTCTTGTTTAAGTATCAATTTCCTTTTTGTTTCAACGTTTTTAAGCAAAAATGGTATATGATTTGTTTCATTCTGGTCTGTCACACTAATAATATTATGAAAAAGTTAATTAGTTCTGTTCAGTGTGACTGGTTAAGAATTTTTTTCTTATTTCAATTATTCATGCCCTTACATGTTTCGGTCTTCAGAGACCATCTTCAGAGGGACACCTTTACATCAATACAGTTAGAAGTCACTATTACAGTACATGTTCTAAAAGTTAAAATATATACATACAATATAAATAATATACAATTGGGTATAAAATCTAAAGTTTTTACAACTATAGCGGCTGTTCCAGTACATCAAAATATTTATAGTTAGTTTGATAAGATTCTATTGGTTTACGAATTCCAATAGAATCTTTAGATTTTACACCCAATTGTATATTATTTATATTGTATGTATATATTTTAACTTTTAGAACATGTACTGTAATAGTGGCTTCTAACTGTATTGATGTAAAGGTGTCCCTCTGAAGATGGTCTCTGAAGATCAAAACATGTAAGGGCATGAATAATCGAAATAAGAAACAAAAATCCTAACCAGTCACACTGGATGGAACTAACTTTTTCATAAAAATGGTATACTTTTGAAAGTACAAGAGAACTTTAGCAAAATATCTTTTGGATCACTGGCACATGGTTTGGACATACACTTTCATATCGCTAAATAAAGTTACTTGTCTAAATCAGAGACTTACAAGTTAGTGACTCAGCACATATGCAATGATAAGTATGAGCATGTAACCACATGGTTTGACTTTAATTCTTAGAAACTATGAGGCAATTACAGGTCTATCTGACATGCACTGTAAAAGATTCTAGAAGAAGCTCCATCTATCTGGAAGAATCCTTTCAATTATAATGTTTATGGGAACTGCCCTAAGAGTCTGGGGAGCTCAGTCAGTACAGTGATGGGCTACAGGCCATATGGCTTGTGTTCAATTTCCAGCATGGCAAGATGTATCTCTTCTCCATAATGTCCAGACTGGCTCTAAGGCCACCCAACCTCCTATCCCATGGGTACTGGGGGTGAAGCAGCTGGGACTTGAAGCTGCCCTCCACCCAATGCCGACGTCGAGAATCGCAGAGCTACACCTCTACTCCCCCATGTTTCCATGGCATAGCACTACATTAAACTTCAGGACAACTTTACATTTATGAAACTGCCCTTATACATTGACAGAGTTTAATGGAATTGAACTCTGCTTGTTCATCACTCTTCTCAACCTCCTCACACTCTCCATCCTCATTCTACTGTCATGTCTGCCCTTCACAACATTAAACCACATACAATACTATTGACTGACTCATTAACACAATCAGATATTGTATCAGGAAATCAATAGATAAGGAAAAGGACAAGCTAACAACTTAATACATTTGGGATAGGAACCAGAACATGGTCAGAACCTGTAATACTCTATTTTTTTTTCTTGGCACTACAGCCCCAGTGGGCCTAGGCCTACCTCCATGAACTTCTCCATTCACTTCGGTTTTTCTAGATCTTACACATTCAGTAGGACTCCTTGGGTGGGTGATCAGCTCATCGCAAGGCCTCTACCTGTAGACAAACACAGAAAAACGCACACACACAAACTAAACATCCATGCCCTGAGTGGGATTCAAACCCACGATCCCAGTTTCCAAGCGAGCGAAGACAGTACATGCCTTAGACCGGTCGGCTACCGTGACCAGCGCTCTCTGTTCGAAGCTCATAAATTTTATTTCAATTTCTTCTGCACAAATGTGGTTTTCTCACAGGACAAAGTACAATACACCATGAAGCTTAATAAGTTATTTATTTTGATAAATAAATGGCACATGATCAGTGAGGAAAAAAAATACAGTCAGGTGTGTTTACAAGAAAAATCAAATCACTGGTAAGTGGCTGCTTTGGCAAGTCACATCGCACAAAGCAACACTTCTGGTGGACATCTGGTCCCTTCCTCCATACACCAAACTAAAATAATATATGTTGATTAGTCACTGATTTATACATTATTAAATAAATATTTACTTTTTGCTAAATAAACCCAGCTCATGGGTCCCAATGTGTTAAGAACACTTCTGCACCTAATTCTTTTGTATACCACTATCTTAAAGGAAACATCACTGTGCAATTCATGTCACTGCATCTGATGCACTGGTAAGAATTAACAAAATCTAGTTGCACTTGCATTTCACATTACTTTTTTTTTCTTCTTTTACCTTAATGAGAGTCACCTAGCAATCAAGTCTCTTCAGCTATCTCAGTGTTCCCAAATCTCATTTTCCTCATGTTCCCTCCATGTGAAGGAAGGACATTTGAAGGAACTGAAAATTCTATTTAAATTGTTGTACATGGATGCGTACTGAGGTTAAGGACAATCATGCAGACATCCAGCTGGATTGATTGGACACTGGGGCTTTGGGATCAAATCTGTGATCTTATATCAAATATAAACATCATAATTAGGGATAAAGCAATATTTTCAAACAAAAGTTTTACTAAATGTGGCTTTGAGGTAGGAACCCAAATTAAAACTTTTCAAAAAGTACTGTCTTCTGGGAGGGGGCATGCAGTAGCATAGGTGGTTGAGGCACTATGCTAAAAGCCAGAAGGTTGCAGATCTGAGTCCTGATAAGGTGGATTCTTTTTCATTTGATCTAATCCTTCCAGCCGCACTGTGGCCCTGGAGTTGTTTCAGCCTCTAACAGAAATGAGTACCAAGATTCTTCCTAAAAGGTAGAGGGCAGCTGGCACGCAAGGCTGACAACCTTACCGCCATCTGTCAGCCGAATGCCTACAGAGAAAATGCGGGAGCCTCGACGTCTCACAACCCTATGGGCCTTCACGGCCTGTTACAGGGGTAGCTTTACTTTTTTTCTTTTACTGTCTTCTGGGATGTTATGAAGTGTTGTCTGGTAGTTTACCAGTGTTTTCCAGGAATAGGCTGCCACCATTTTCAGGGTCTTGCTGGTTGCATGCCTGGCATATTCTTCAGTCCTGAAGATGGAGACAGTATGTTCCTCAGGAACATCAGTAATCACCTATCAGACTACACAGTTTCACATTCCAGACAATTTTTTTTTTAAATTCGCTTAGTGGGGGGTGGAGTCCAACTAGGTCCACTCAGCAAGGCGGCCACTGATTGGCCTACTGTAGCCTGCCCCAGGTGACTATGATGATGGAGAATTTGGTGGAATGAAGATTGGCAGGGGAAACCTAGGTACTCGGAGAAAACCTGCCCCAGCGCCACTTTGTCCACCTCAAATCCCGCTTGACCAGACCCAGGATCGAACTTGGGCTGCCGCGGTGGGAAGCCAGTGACTAACCGCTTGAGCTATGGCACAGCCTATGCCAGACAATAGTACTACTCACAGTGACCAATGTGAGAATTTCAAATCCAACTTACTGAAAAGATTTTTACTTATTTTATTCTGAGAAATTATTCTCAGTATGAAGCACATTCAATGCTCTGGCTTCTTATTTTTTTCATTAATTCATCAATGTATAGAGTAAATATAATTACTGATCCAGTCACCAAAAATTTAGACATTGTTCTCAGATGTGGATTAGATTCATGAAGCCCTGGTTTGGTATATATAAAACAGCAAGGACATGGTCCTGGTTCTGGTTCTGGCAGATTATGGTTGGAAGTGGTGCAGGGGACATGTTCTCTCTAGGTATGTCAGTCTCTCCTGCCAGTTCTCACCCCACCATCTGTTTCACAGTCATTATTCATTCTATCATCAATGATACATAGTCTCTATACTGACACTGTTGTTAAACGACTAACTTAAAGAAAAGAAAAATCATGGCAGACCCTCAGTGGACAGTGCTGAAGCATCCACCAGGCAGAAACTGTGGCATTCATGACACTGTCATCAGTGTGATGTATAAAAACAACTCAGTATCTGACAACATTCAGAAGAATGTGATGTGTCCAATGTATGTACCCCCAAACATTTCCATATTTACTTAAGAATTGTCTTTTTTGTGTTATACTTTGAATACAAGCCCCTGCTATGTTATGCACCAACTCTACCATCAGGACAGTGTGAGTAGATTTCCATGCTTTGAAATGTTTGGGTACTTCTATAAATAAAGTACTATTATGAGGTGCTATTGAAAGTTCCAGGACTAGGTCAAAAAAGAAATGCTGGCTCAACTTACTCAATTCTGGCTGCCATCTTCAAAACAGTCTCCTTTGGAATGTATAAAGTGATCCCATAATTTTTTCCACACTTTAGAACCACTGTGGAAGGCATCTTCCTTAATGCTGTAGAGTACCACTTGTGATTCCCTTTGGACGTCAGACGCTGTCCCTTCAGTTTCATTTTCAATTTGGCAAACAATGCAAAATCACAGGAGGCTAAGTCCCATGAGTACAGAGGATGAGGAACGATAACCATGTTGCTGTTAGTCACAAACTCTGTGGTTTTCAAGGACGTGTGGGCAGGCGCATTGTCGTGATGAAGAAGCAATGAGGTGCATGTTCAAATTTTCTGTTAAGATCTGGCAAACTCCATAACTGATCCCAACAGTGTCTGCGAGCTCATGGATTGCTCAGAGACAATCTTCATTGATGAGTTATCGAATTTTTTCAACATTTTCTATTGTTTTCCTGGTGCTTGGTCACCCTGAACGTTTGCCAACTTCAACTGGCACTCAACCGGTCTTGAAATGTGAATGCCATTCAAAAACCGCTGTCCGGCTTAAAGAATATTCTCCAAAAGCCTCACAAAGCATTTCAAGGATTTCAATAGTGGACTTACTGAGCTTCATGCAAAACTTGATGCAGACACATTGTTCAATTCGCCCATCCATCGCAAACAAAACAAAACAAAACAAAACACTAGGTCGAAAAATCACTTGTGTAAAAACAATGTGTGTTCACAGCATGGTGTCACGTCTTTTGAAGCACAATAGATAACTGAAGGTCGCAGTGCGAGGGCTGGATTTTATGGCCCACCCTTACACATGGTGTCACGTGACAGACTGAGCAAATAGCCTTGCAGAAGTGTGACCTTGACCTCCCTTCTCATCTTCTTTGACCAAGGCAGTTACAACAGTAACAGTCCGGGAACTTTCCAATACCACCTCATACAATCCTCAAGGCCCAAAAACTGTGTCACAACAGTAAGAGTCCGGGAACTTTCCAATACCACCTCATACAATCCTCGAGGCCCAAAAACTGTGTCATTCACATCTGTTAATGTATAATTTTGATTTTCAAGGTTTAGCCACATCATTTATTTAAGATGTTTCAGAGTTTTGCCATCTTCAGGGTGAGATGAAAGGAGGATGCAGCATAATACGTAGGTCTCACAATGGACGTGAGGGTGGAGGGTGGTCCCATCCAAAGGAAAGACACAATGACCAAACATAAAGTTTCTGACAGTAGTGACTGTTGGGGAAATGAACAGAGGGGGTGCCCAGCAGATCACTATTGGTCATGGTGTGTGGACCAATTAAAGCCAACTCCTTGAACGAATGAATGAATGTATAAGGGGTAGGCCTTCTCAGCCCTTGCACTGCAACCTACAATGGTCTATTGTGCTTCCCCTTTTGATTATCCCCTCAGCAATCCAACCCCTTACTCATACATTCAAGGGTGGGGGTGTCAATCATGGTGCTACCATGCTTGCTTTATATGCTGTGAAATGAAATGAAATAAAGCACCCCTGTATTTGCATAAGTATAGCAAATAAGTGCTAATGTATGATAATGTGGTGCACTGTACATTAACCAGTATGCATAGTTTATATTACCATGGACAAATTTCTTTGTTGGAAGTACTTCAAGGCCCATACTGCCATATATGTTCCTCACACCATTATCTGAAGCTGAGTCCATACCGCTCTGTCACTTGTGGCGTGTGAGTTGAAGCTACAGCCAGGAGGAGAGGCACGTCATTAGCATCCAGATCCAAGCTGGTAGTGAGGAGTTCCATGTCACAGAACTCTGTTGTCAGTAACAACTCTGCTAGAGCCTGACTACGCAGAAACAGTTCTCTCAGCTTGGATTCTAAATGCAGTAGGCACTGCAAAGAGAAAGGCCTTTATGAGCCAAAACACTGCACAGATTATGTTATAACTCCAAAGCAATAATATTTTATGAAGAATGTAGACACTACAAAGAGGTAACAGCTTCACATACTGCCCAATCTATATGCAAGGAAAGCACAGTAAGGCCTCACTACGCTGTGCTATATGAAGGGAAGGGTGCTCAGAATTATGTGATAATCTGGATTACTTGAAGTTTATTGACTTACATGAAAAATTAAGTCATAATACACGAAGAGGTCTATCTTATGGGATATGATGTTTTGTAGTCCAATAAAATTAATGGACATTTCTGAGGAACATATTGTGAGCTGAGCTGTTGACTTTCACTGGACTACCTGGCATCACATCTGAGAAAACAGACTTCTTCAGTCATTGCTGGGAGAACCTCAAACCTAACACAATCACAGTACTGTCATGTAGAATGTGTGTGACTACAGATGGCTTAAAGATTGGAGTATGGATTCATCAACCACTCATACACACCGCTCGGAACTACAAGCAATTACAGTGCTATCGCTGATTTCCACACTTCATAAATCATTACATGCTATGTCTTCACTAGTTGTTGCTCAGTAACAGATCTCAACAATCAAAATTCTTCATCTTCTGTGCTCACGTCATTACTGTCCAGCAAATATCCCACAACTGAACCATCAACTGAACTATGGCACCATCTCTATTCAGCCTCCCTTGCAGAACTCAACTCGCAACTGACTGGGTCGCCCCAACTGTCTTCCTTATAATCCATCTGCACAGACTGAGTACAAAACACCGTTTCCAACAGTACCTCTACTGTTGCGTGTGTATTCATTGCTACAGGAACATGTTTACCGATCCATTGCCTAGAAATGGCCACTGTTTATTCGTCTATCTCACAGATGTTGCATAGCAACAGCTGTATATGCTACATTATATTATTAAAAACAACTTAAATACTTAATGCCCACTCTTGAGCCACTCTCCATGACTTCCTATCACGTAATCAACTACTGAGAGACTCACATGTTCAGGAGAAGTCTTTAACCTCCACAGGTATAGCAATGATTCCAGCATGTTGGCCACAAGCCGAGACATGCCAACACGTACTCCCAGTGTTCCTGGTTTATCCACAACATACGTGTGACTTGAAACCAGCTGAACCTCCCTGAAAGTGAATTAAACTGTCAGTTTCAGCTAACAACATAGAATTCAGAGGCAGTGATCCATAAAGGCTACTGGTATATTTCCAACATCACAGCCACTTAATTTTTTCTATGCCACTCCCTAAAGAATGATGTATGAAGAAAATGTCATAACATGTTTTAACCCTCAGTTCTGGAAGACTTAAATCAATTTAAGTAACTTGAGAACAAAGAAGACTGGACTATAAACTCACAAAAATTCAAGCTTCAAATTTTGCAGGTAAGTCATGTAATATCTGCAGAATATGAGGCGGTAATTTATATTACCTTAGTAATTCAGTCTGCATGAAAGCCCTCGAAGCAGTGAAAACAGAGGCCAACAATCTCCTTTAGCATAAATACATCACGCACAACATAAATTTCATGTTGACTGGTTTCCAAACCTGAAATGAAGGTCTCTGTTTGCACACTCCTTTCCGCCCGTGTGCACACACGTGCACACTAATTTTGATAAGTAATGACTTTAACTTACCTTAAATATTTGCCACGGGAAAGAATTTAGTACAGTATTTTAAGAAGGTAATTTCTGAACCAGTAACTAATATACAAACCAGGTATCAATGTTGGCAATGATGCAGACAGCCTCTGTCACCTCTTGATCCAACAGGGGATGGTGGGCAGCGAGTGCTAGATCCCGCCTCAGATTCGCTTCCCAGCCCTTAGGTAACTGTGTGCATCCTTGCAAAACCATGTCGGGGATGTAATGATCACTTGTACTGCCCATGAGTGACGCTGCAAAACCACACCGCTGCTTGTTGCACTTCTCTGCTTTGCATCTGTAATCAATCTTCCATCAGAATTCTCAGCCAGCAAAACAAGAATCAGCACAAGATCGCTGGTACTGGGAGCAGTAGGCAGATATTCAATAAATGTCTTCATATTATGGAACCTGAAGGATTACAACCATTATCCTATTATGATCATTAGTACTGGATACAGAAGGTCTATACATTACATTAAGTTATAATAATGTGGCATGTTATAATATGTTTTTATTATATAAAATGTTGTAGCTTTAACTATCCACTGTAATGAACATATGCCAAAAAATATATCATATTTAAGCACCGATGGACTCAAATTGTTTTCAGCTTACACAGAAACCTTCAAAATGAGTTAGCCATGTAAGCTGTTGACTTACTGCACACCAATCAGGATTTATACTAACCTTGGCATGGGTAGTTCAAGTATGAATTCACATTGCTGCTCATCTGTAGATGTTATCCCACCATCCTCTGCTTTCTGACTGGCTGTCCTGACATCACATAGAACGTCATCATCTGACAAGTTGCTATAATCATCAAAGATTGCATTTCTTTCACTTGTGTAATCACTCACAGAGTCCGAGTGTTTCTCTCCCTTTGTTACAGGCGTATCACAATCATCACTGGTCTTATCTACCAGAGTTTTATTCACACTATAACGAACGCTGAAAGTATCCGTATTTACAGAGCTATATTTTTCGCACACCACACAGCTTTCCGTTAAAGAAAAATTTTCTCTTGCTTCTGCTACTTTATCTGTCTTCTTGTCTGTCAGATGCAAATTCTTCTTCTTGTCTCTGCCTTGTATGTAATTCATAAGAACGCCTTCACAACGCTCAAAATGAAACCGTACACTGTGATAATCCTTAAGGTAACGGCTAATCTCAAAAACGCAATCACTGTGTCTCCGACAAAAAAATAATGCATTCTTTCTCACATTTTCTCTGGATAGCGAACTTAAAAGGCTAAGAGATCGTGAAACAGGTTTGCTGGATTTTACAGAATTCTTCACAGGTAAATCTGTTTTCACTCCACTACACTCATCTTCAAGTTCTATCACAGATGGGCGGACCGTTATGACTCGATGACCATTCTTGCTTGTAGAACAAGCTGTGCATTGTTTGGTTCTTACCTCCTTTGCAGACATATTTATGCTTTCTTTCTGAAATTCACAACTTCCTAAACCTAAATTTATATTTAATTTAAATTTGTTTGTTGAGTCACATTCATGTTCGCATGCAGGAGACTTTACATCACTGGCTAAACACGACACTGCTAAACTGGAATGGCTTGCCAGGGGTGCATGTTTGCATGAGTTCCCACCTCCCTCATGGTCCTGTAGGCTAGAACTACTCATTACAGAGGGATAATCATCACAGGCATCATGACCTAAACTTCCCCTGTTGACTTTCTCATTGTGTTCACTTTCAGATTTATGCGACTGCTTTAAATCAACCAGCCGTTCATTGTCACCTATCACAAATATCACATCACCTTTTCGTGACCCGCTCTCACTATCTTCACTAATGCTTGTAACAGTATTTCTCTCACAAGCCACTACATATGAACGTGATGAAGGGCTCTTCGAGTTTTCTAAAACTTCATTAGGCTTTGCTTTGAACAGAGGAGCAGTTCTAGCAGAAGATCTCTGTCGTTCACTCTCCACTCGTTTTGGTAAAACAATCTCTTCAACTCTACTCTCTTTGCCGTTATCCTCATTCTGAAGGTGATATAGTATCGCGGAAGTGGGAACACGACATAAACGGCTTACTTTCTGAGATATATCTTCATGACAGAATGAAAAATCACTGTTCATTTTATTAACTTCAGACATCTTTGAATCTGCTGCACTAGAGTCATTATTAGGATTTAAAGAAAGATTGCTATTTTGAGTCTCATTATCATCATCAACTAAGTTTAAATCTGCTAAACTTGGATACAATTGACCGGTTCTTGTAGAGGATTTTGAATCTGAGTGTCCAAGATCTATCACAGTGGTAGTACTGTCTAGTCTCTTCATGAAACTGGCAGTTCGTCTCATACCGCTTACCTGCGGGGCTGACAACTGAACGTTGCTTCTCAGATCTCTAACGCTCCCACCTTCGACACGTGACTGACCTAAAGGAACAGATGATTTTTGTGCACTAGAACAATTACTGTCTTCAATGCTTCCAACATTCTGCACTGAAATGTAGTGATCTTTAAACACTTCAGAAGACAGTGGTCTACACTTAGTTCCCACATTAACACTATATCTATCCGGAATTGGGCATGCCCCATTCTCAGCTTCAAGTTCCCTGCCTATTTCTACTCCATGGTCAACCCTATTATCAAATACTGTCATCACGTCATGACCTGAAAGAAAATGTCTTGTAAATGATGACTGAGGATGCAGCAAATCTTCATTCAGCAAAGTTGTTGTGGATGTGCTGTTGGATTTCTTAATTGTGGCTGTATTCATTTCATCCAGACACTCCTCTGTTGAATCCTCATTTTCGATAACTCGTTTCTCGACCTCACTGCAGCGAATGAAGTACGTCAATGAATTGAGAATCCTATTTAGAAGTTCCAGTTTCTTGGCACTAGATGTGACAACCGTTTTTGCTACCTTCACTGGGAAACCCAATGCACCATACAATTCTCCAAGCTGGGCCCACAAAGGGTTGTATGGGTGTGATTTTGACAGTGCATCCAACTGAAAGAAAATAACTCATGTAAAAAATTAGGTCCCTTTTACCAGGGTCCTTCTGTATAGGAATACGAACAACTTCAGAGAAATTACCGAAAATTTCAATATTATGTACATGGTACGACTTACATGAAAGAACACAAAAGTTGGTATAGTGTATCCGCACAATTACAACCAAGATAACTAAAATCTCTGCCACTGCAAGGAACTCAATTTCGGTTGTCTAGCCTGTAACCTAGTCACTACACTCACTGAACCACCTCAGTTACACCTATTCTTAATTGTAATTCATTAAATATATAAAAGATAAGAACAAATGTTTCAAATACTTTTTTTCAGACCATAATGAGTGTATATTTTATGTCTTGTATGATAAGTCATTACTGAGAAAACTGATAAAAAGTTCAGTTGATGCTTTGAGTTGGGGTTACAGTTAACTAGAATTTATACAAATGAATGAATGCAAATCGTAGCATGAGTCATACATCAACAAGATTAACACACACACACATTTTCATGTAAGTATAAGACCAGAGGGATAAATACCAAAAGGCTTTACTGTTAGAGCAATTCAACATTTCTGTTCACGATGTCTCATCCCCCAGGATATCTCAATCAGTATAGTGACTAGCCTACAGACTGGAGAACAAGGGAATCAAGACTCAATTCCCTGCAGGAACAAAGATTTTTCTTTTCTCCACTGTTTCTTACACAATGAGTATCAGAGACTGTTTCCCGAGGCATAAAGGAGTTAGGCCATGAAATCTGAGTACTTGGGGACACTTGATGTCACTTGCCATGCCAATAATCAATATTCAGTTGAGGCAAGAAACTGACAACCCATCTCCATGTTCTGTCAAGGTTGAGAAAGCATGAAGCTGTTCCTCCTCTGCCCATATATCTTCCTGATATGCTTATTAAACACAAGGACAATTTTACATTATAATCAAAGGTTATCCAGATTTAGCAAGGGCTCTTATGAATACCATAATAATATACTGACATATGCATTACTGATTTATTTCTTTGACCTCACAATTTACCACTTAGAATCAACAACAGTTTACTCATCAGCAGACAAATTCAGCTGATAAAGCATTAATTACTTACTTACTTGACTTTCACAATAGACCACTGTAGGTCATGGTGCAAGGGCCGAGAAGGCCTACCCCTCATACTTTCATTCATTCTTACTTACTTTGCCGCCACCAATTCTGCAGCTACTCAGGAATTTCCCAGCATTTTATGGAACCCAAAGGTTCAACAGCTGATAGAGCACTGTTGAATAAACCTTTAACCAATCTATTCAGCAGAACTTTGAAGGATGAGGCTTAAATACTGACTTCTGTGACACAAATGTGATTTTATTAAGAAATGTGATCTACAGTTCAGGAGGTGGAAATTTGCACTTACCAGCTGTCCAGTGCAGGGTTTCTTTGAGATGTGAGGAAGGGGCATTTTCCCAGGCAGAATAGTGGCAACCCAGCCCAAATGATGTGTCAGCACAGCTGTCACTAGAGTGCTCACAAAACTGTAAATAATATAGCAAAACCTTGTCAACTCACTCATGAAGCTGAGCCTTTCTTGAGAAGCCACCAATTGTGCAACTACTCAAGAATGTCCCAGCATTTTATGGCACCTGAACGTTCATTACAGTGTTCACAAACCCCTTTCACTGGTCCCTATCCTGAGCCAGATCAATTCAACACATACCATCCTATCCCATCTCTCTAAGATCAATTTTAATATTGTCCACCCACATATGTCTTGGTCTCTTTCATTCTGGCTTTCCCACCAATATCCTATATGCATTCCTCTCCTCTCCCATTCATGCTACACGCCCTGCCCATCTCATCCTCCTTGACTTAATCATTCTAATTATACTTGAAGAAGAGTACAAGTTATGAAGCTCCTCATTATGCAGTTTCCTCTAACCTCCCATCACTTCATCTCTCTTCGGTCCAAATATTCTCAACACTCTATAAAACACTGTCAACATATTTACAAATTTGTGTTGTTTAGGTTTCGCTGTCCTGTTTTTAAATCCTATATGAAAGCTTAATGCTGACAATCTCAGTTTAAAGAGCGTTTCATATTCCTGAATCAAAATAAATCTCTTTATTATTTTAAACTCTTTAGGATGATAATAATATGAATGAAAATATCTGCCTTAATCTGATGAGGTTAATTTTTGTGAGAGATAACAAATGATTCTTTATGTAACTCAGAGTCCTGTCTTGAAAGAAAATGTGAACAAAAACAAATGCAAGAGAATTACACAAAGTCAGCAGTATTTTATAGAAATCAAGATCACGGCATTGTAAAATGTGAGGTAAAGTAGTGTGGCAGGTAGGTACCATTTTGGAGAAACCAACTGCCTCCATCTTCAGGGTAGAAGATGATCTTATAGCCTGAGATTGGAGACAGCAGATTCCTCACAAACAGTGGCATCCATCTACCAACTACACATGCCACATCCCCGGGGCTGTAACCTTGATACTCACTGCTATGAGGACTCAAAATCTCATAATTTTACAAAAGTTTAATGGTTTCAAAATTTCATCCATACAGTTCTTCTGTCCTTAAACATCTTGTTTCCGCTTATATTCCTACAGTTCAAATACATATACTCCCACATGACTATGGCAGCCTTCCATAATTTGCAATGCATATAAGTCCTTACTGTATTAACAATTCTGTAATTGTGGTTAAAAACTTAAGAGAAAGCTGCACATCTTTTGAAAACTTACAAGTTGGTAGCCTTAGTATCGATGTTTGCAATGAGATGACACAGGTCCTGCAGAAAGTTGTGTGAGAGGGCACAGTTCAGATCATTCAAGCCAGATGTAAGACCCAGCCACACAGGTAAAGACAACCGAGGAGCCGAAAACACATCAAGAAGCCACTACACGACAAAGATGAATGTCACAAGCTATCAGACCTCATTTAAACAAATGTTAACACACAATCATCACACAAAATATATTATAAAATGTATCTAGACAGAATAACTCAAACACACTTCTCTTCTGACAGTATATGAATGGGTTACTTGTGAACCAAGCATTAGTCACTAATCATCCAGACCACAGCCTAGTCGCTGTACTAAGAGAGCTATCATCAGTGAGCCATGACAGCTCAGTCGGTATGCTGAACAGGCTATGAGCTAGAAAACCAAAGAATTAGCATTCCATTCCTAACAGGAACAAGAGATTTCTCTGTTCTCCACAGAGTCCAGACTGAGTCCATGACCGAACCTGCCTCTTATCCGATGGGTATCGGGGACATTTTCCCAGGAGTTGAAGCAGTTGGGGCATGAAGTAGATGATCATTCGCGTCTATCTAGTGCTGAAGTTAAGGAAGTGTAGAACTATAACTCAGCTCTCCACAGCCCTTCATTGCATGGTGTTTAAACAATTCTTTAACACCCAGTGGTTCAATGTGTATCTTGTTCTTTAACGTAAACTCCACACTATGCCCATAGAGTGTATCTGTGTGTTCTACATGGTCCTCACAATAAACGTTTCCTTGAACAGTACTGTGGCATGCAGACCCACTGCTAGGCAACAACAGCAAAATAAGCAGCTATACAATAGCCAATGCTAGGTAATGGCTGCAAGAGACATGCATGCAACAACAGAAGAGCTGTCGGAAGCAGGGTTCTCGGTTTGGTCTCTGCCAAGGCTGTATAACAAGGGCCAGCTGCCAATAGAAGACATTCTTGAGACGGCAGTGAGAAGAGGAGGAGGTTGGTGTGAGATGGCCAGCAGCCTAGGGGTTAGGGAGTAAGTGAGTTGGAGGAATGCTGTGGCTCAGTCCTTGTGAGCTACTGCTGTTAGAAGCTGGCATGTGAGGCACAGGAGCACTTCAGGAACCCAGAGAAAGGAGAATATATGCTGTTGGAAGCCATCAACAGAAAACTGGTGAAGACAGAGCAAGCTAAGAAGCCTTCAGTGTCTGCTCTAGTGAACTGCAGTGTGAATTAGCAATAGCGCTGTAGTTACGAGTTGTGTATATACGTGTGCAATAAATCCAAACCCTGTTTATAGTCACTCATATATGTGACAGTACTAATTTTTGCAGTGGAGACTTAATGTATTTCCTGTGAGGTGCGAGTTCAATTTTAACACATTATACAGAAGAAATTAAGCCTTTAAAGGGTTAAGAACAGTGACATTGCCTGTACCTTCAGAGGGAGGCTACAGAAGTGTAACTGCTCACCTGCTGCACATCTTCAGACCCTTCCATCATGAGATGGACGAACATCTCCTTGTGTAGGTAGGCACGCTCGACACAGCTGTGAAGCCTCTCCATTATTCCCTCCATCACAGTCATGTGTTCAAAGAAGAAGAAATGCATTTCTCTAAAAGATAAAACAGAAATTACATGCACATCTACGAATTTTTTCATGTTCCTGACGTCAGGAATACTGAACGTAACAGAAGATTCAGTTTATTCTTATATGCCATAACTTAGGCTGTTATAAGTTTATAAACTGAAAACCTTTCACTTAAATGGTTGCACATATCGTGAAACAATCTTCAGAGATTTCTCACACTTCTTTCCATTCGCCCCACTATAAAAGACAAGTGAGGCATCTGTCAGTGAAGTATGAGGTCCTCACAGCCGTGAATATTAAGACTTTACATTAGGCTAGGTTACACGTGTATGAAATATATCTGGTGTCCCAGAAGGAAAGGTCAATATTCTGGGAGGTCACAGTATCGGTAATTCTAATGAAAAGAGTATATATATGCATACATACGTCCTATTCGGAACGGTTTCCGAGATAGAGCTATTTCACTGTACAGTTCCGAAACTGTTGATAAGAAAGAGATATTACGTACTGTTTCTAATATTGGTATTCATTGTTCAAGTGACAAAGTTTACCTAGTACAATACATTTTCAAAAATTACACCGTTAACATCAATGCACTTTGCAACTTGTGTGAGGACATGGCGTGTTGCTCGTCTGTACACTGCGTGGTGAAATAGCTCTATCTCAGAAACCATTCAGAATACAACACATGTATATATACATTTTTCTGCTTAGAATGACTGATACTATGACCTCCCAGAATGTTGACCTTTTCCCCTGGGGCACCCTGTATATCTCCCTTGATAGTTTAGCTCAAGAGGAGGAATGAGAGGCTTAATGTACATGAAAATGTTCAAATAGAATTTGCCAGATACGTCAATATCACATAACCATGTTATCATCTTTCCCAAAATTCACCTCCACTTACTTTTCCTCCTCTGGTGTCAGACTGATAACTACAGCAAGTCCGAGTTTTGTTCTGCGGTGCCCAGGCTGACTAGTATCTTCACTAGGAAGATCGTTCATTGTGCTTCTGGAGCACCAAGGAAAACCTTGTGAGCCAAGCTCCAAGGATGTACTCATGTTCCTCAGCCAACGTCGCTGAAGGCTTGACAGACTGCCACCAGAATGACATGACACTGGATTGTTAAGGTACGAGCCAGAACCTGCACAACACAACATTGACATATTTACTTTCACCCATTTTCCTTCGTCTGCTCATCTGTAATTCAGTTGTGACGACACAAATTTCAAAGGAATTGTTGAAAATAATGGAGAATTTAACAGAAGCTATAAGATCTCAGGTTCTCATAGCAGTGAGTACCAAGAGTGGTCTTTCAAGATGTTACAATATAGTTTGATAGATACAAAAGAAAACTCCTTGGCTTTAGTCCGCAAATGAACTATACCAACCAAGCAACCATCAATTGTCGGCGAAGTTAGTGCCAACTTTAGCGGATAAAGGGTGTCACACGGTCAGTACAATGAATCACCACGGTCATTAATTTTGGTTTTCTAGGCTGGATAGTTTGATAGATAGGTACCAATATTTCAGAGGAATACCCTGCCTCCATCTTCAGGGTAGAAGGGAACAATGAAGGTAGTGGGTTCCTCTGAAACATTGGTGCCTACCTAACAAACTACCTGGTATGACATCCAGAACACTGCATTATTAAATGCAAGTTATGTGGACTAATGCAAATGTATTATATCTTAATCCTTTACAGAATGATGACATTTTTCTGTAACTATTAACTTCATCTTGAAATCTCCAATTTTAGTAGCTAACTCAGATTCTGGTAACTGTGGTATTCTGCACTTACACAGCCTCTACTCTGAATCTGAGGGCCAACAAATTCATTCAATTTCATATGTCAATATGATCACATGCCAAATTGTCAGGTTTATATACTATGCCACTGTAACAGCAATTACAAAATACCTGAAAGAAAACTACAGATATATAAAAACTGCTATATGTTGGTTGATGACTGTACAACTGACAGGTTGTAATGGCTTGTAGGTGACAACTGCATATTATAATATGCAGTTGTCACAATAATTATTGTCAAGTGAGCACTGAAATTTTAACTCACTTCATTAGCTTACTTGGTGGAACTGCAGACAAAGATGTTAACCAAAAAAAGCAGTTCTTGCCATCTGTCGGTAATATGTTGCCTTACACATCTGCATTTTCACAATTCACCTAGCCATTAAAAGAAAGTAAAATTTGATAATTGTAAAGTAAAATTCATTCACATTTTCACAAGCACCAACTCAGAGCTGTGCTGTAATTTCATTTTAGTGGTACAAAATCCAGTAACAAAAATTATCCATACTTCGTCTGGAGTCTGGACTCGAAGTATAAGTCCCAAGTCCACCAGAAGAATAGCCCCCAGACCCCAAACTACTTGTTGACTGCAAGGATGCATCTCCACAGAAACCGCTGTCCACTTCTAAACTGTTATAATGGTGTTTTGTCCTCAGCTCAATGTCCAGGGGACCACTTCCAACGCTTGCTGAAAAGAGAATTAGTTTATACAGCCTGGTGCGGGATTCTGCAGCCAACAGGTCTCTTACAATCAGACATAACACAACATACCTTCCTTTGCATCTGGGCAAATGCCCTGTGAAGTGAAGTATTCACTCATCGAGTTGATTGAGCTGCCACATGAATCTTCCAAGCTGCGGTCACTGAAATATATCAAAGGTCCGTATACATACATACAGAGAATGGACTCAACACAAAGCACAGAGATTTGACAGGATGCTGATGTTATGCACACATTTCAAATTATTTTGGCAATACTTGAAGAGTGCTATGTTCTGAGATATATCATGTATACAAGAAGACGGTACTCTTTGTAACCAATAATGTGAGAACCTCAAAACCTACATCAATAATACTTTGTATGACACAGCAAAACATGCAGCCATCTCTGAACTAGCACTTGCTTCATGCAGAGTAATGGAGTTTAACTGAAAATTACTTAATTAAAAAGAGCAGGATCCTTCTTGAGAAGTAACTACAGTGTTCACAAGAGCTCAACTGGTCCCTATGCTGAGCTAGATGAATCCAGCCCACACCCTTTGATCCCATGTCTTTACGATCTATTTCAATATTATCCTAGGCTTTCCAAGTGGCCTACTTCCTTCAGGTTTTCCTATGAAAACTTTGTATATGAATATATGTCTCGCTTCCCTCCCAAGCATGCAACATGTACCTGATCTCATCTGCTACAATTTGATCCTCATAATAACGTTTGGAAAGGAGTACAAATTAGGAGGTTTCTCTCCGTGCAATTTTTTCCAGCTTTATGTCATTTAATCCTTCTTAGATCCAAGTATTCCCAGACTATATTCTTCCTTTAATATAACAGACTAAATTTCACACCCATACAAGGAGTAGCAAAAAACTATGGTTTTGCATATTTTAATCTTCAAGTTTTTAGATTGCAGGCAGGAAAGTACAGGTATCAAGCATTCCCTGAATTCTGCCTGAACTTAATTTCTTCAAGAGTTCAATTCAGATTGGGAAGTTTAATTAAATAATACAGATTATTAATGTCGTCTAGTGTGATTGATAAATGTTGTGTTTTTTCTAATCTTTCGTCCATTACGTTTCGGTTGGAGCAACCATCTTCAGAAGGACACTGTCAACACATACGGAAACGACTATTACAATGTCATTGGTCATTATCAGTACTTACAGAAATTATTACAATGTCAGATACAAAATATAATTCTGTAACAATTACTATTATTAAGTTAATTAAATAAAACTAGTACCTGACTCCCCTGCTGCGAATGCCCGTTACAGGCGAATGGAAGACTTTTGTACATATAAGGCGAAATGGTGACTTCATGCTGTGAACCTTCAACACACTCCCTTGGAAGGCCATTGCAACAGAACCAAATATCATTTCACCCAATACTGTCACGTCCGAGTTTGGTTTCATATACTGCAACAAACAGCACATTTCTATAAGGGAAGGGCATCAAAGTATTCACCCAGAACTTACAGAGAAATCTGAATGTCTGTATGAACTTAACCCAAGAGCCATCTGTATTTAAGAAAAAGTATGGCAAGGTGAAGTTGTTCTTGTGCTTAATTAAGCACCATACCATGAAGACATGGGGGAACATGGTAGCATAGTTGGTTGAGGCACTATGCTACGAAAGTGGAAGGTCGCGGGATCAACTCCCATTGAGGTCACTGGATTTTTCAATGGACCTAATCCTTCCAGCTGCACTATGGCCCTGGGGTCAACTCGGCCTATAACAGAAATGTGTACCAGGAAATTTCCTGGTGAGTAAAGGGCAGCCGGTGCATAAGGCTGACAACTTCACCAACATCTGTGACCTAACTGTCTAGAAGATGTGGGAGCCTTGACCTCTCAGACCCCTATGGGCCTTAACGGCCTGTTACAGGGATAACTTTAGCTTCTTTCCTCCCCATGAAGACATACAGAAGTGGATGCACAACTTCATCATTTTTCACTTTGTCACTAGATGGAGGTGAGTGGTCAGCTTCATGGCTTGGCCGTTTCATCCCCCAGGGGAAAAAGCCCCAAATATTCACTGGATAGGACGCTTGGTGGGCCCCAGAGCCAGTCTGGATTCTGTGGAGTAAAGAAAAATCTCTTGCTCCTGTTGGGAATCAAACCCCAGCCATCCAGCCCATAACTGCTATAACAGTGGCACATGTAGCAATGTTATTTACTGAAAATTACTTCAGCATTTTCATCACTGCAAGGCTTGCTTTAGTTACTCCCGCTTCACACAGCTTCATATCATGTTACATTGGGTTAAGTTAGTTTGAGATGTACTGTATGTAAAAGTACACGTACAGTTGTCCCTGTGCGTCATTACATTACACGACCTGAAGACGTATGGGGGAGAGCAGGTAAACCTCCATACATACTGAGGGTTAGCACTAGTTACAGTCAAGTGGTCAGTTTCATTCTTTGGCTGCTTTACTCCTCTGCTAACCCTGAGCAGGGGGCTGAATGGGCTGAAAAGTCTATATGGACCTTGTGGAGAAGATACAAATTTATTTCCCCTGCCAGGAATTGAACCCCTATTCCTCAGTTGTCCATCCCACAGCCTATCACTTTATACAATGAGCTCTCCCAGTGCCACATATATATCATGTTTCCAACACTGTATAAAACCTCTAGGACAATGGTGTATTTATGCATTATCTCAGAGAAAATTCCCTCAGTAACAAGAGAAAAATTCAATTCAAACAATATGACCATTTAACTCTACAAGAAAGATAGCTCTACCAATATGTTGCTCATCTATTAAACAAGTAGATCTTATTTTCAAGCCTTAATAAATGGTTTAAAAATCCAGTATTTCTGTGTCAATACATTATATGTTAATGAAAACTGGATTTCACACAGTCATTCTAACGTTATTCTCTTATATACCTCTGAGTATCAGGACAAATTATTTATCATTATGGGACATAACAAAAGTGTATACTTCCTACCTGGTAACCAAATCCGTTTGTAACTTCAACATACATATCAGTCTTTTTGCTGTCAAATTTCTGCCGTGACCCAAATTTAAGCTTGCTGCAATGCTGATTCTCCAACGATACTTTCTGAACAGCTTTTGAGTCAAACAATAATTTACGACCCCTCCAATCACATTCCCTAAATAGCAGAACTCTTACTTGGTCTTTGCTGAAGTTGAAAGGCTTCCAACTATGGGTTAAAAGAAAAGCAGAAGACACTATAAAACACTATTGTCTTTAAAATTTGGGGAAATGGATTTTTCCACATAAGCGATTCTGTTAGTATGTCACAAATCTAAATTTATTACCTTTCAGTTTCATTTTTACCAAACGTAACATAACCTTGCTTGTGGCTTTTCTTTCTAGAAGGAAACAACCTGTTCAGTAAAGCCATACTGTCTTTTACCTTCAACCCCAATTCTTGAAACAATTTTAGTTACATCTTCTAGACACCATTCCCATAGCAGAAAGTTCTATATTTACTTCCAACTTGGAACGGTAAATAAAAGTCACGTGCTTAACTTTCACAAGTCAAGTCATATGATTATTTGGTCACCTGCCTACTCGAGCCAAAGCCTACAACTCAAACGTAATTTCCGGAACTTCAAGAGACGGCAGTAATCATCATGAATGAAAGATGTCACTAGCAACAGAATGAGCATCCTGTCCGGCCTCGAAAGCTCTGTTGTATGTGTTGAAAGGAGTAGAAGTGCGCATGTTCGTGCACACATCCGTTACGCATACTCACGTCGTATACAGTTATCGCTGGGGGAGTTGCAATACGTCCTACGGGACATTTTGAGGAGGTAACTGTCATTCGGGCACACGGTAGCGTAGTTGACTGAGGCAGTATGCTACAAGACAGGAGGCCTCGAGTTCCATTACCTACGAGGTCACTGAAATTTTTTCAATTTACCTAATCCTTCCAGCCGCAATATGGCCTTGGGGTTGACTCAGCCTCTAACAGAAATGAATAACAGGAAGATTTCTGGGGGGTAAAGGGCGTGGGGCGCGCAAGTCTGACAACCTTACCACCATCTGTGAGCCGATATTAGTCGCAGAACTAGCAAAAAGAAGCCCTCATCTGTCATGAAACCCGAATGTTCATTACTGTGATCAATAGAATCCGCGTTTGACATCCTATCCAAATAGAATTAATATAATTTTTCGCCTCGAGTTTTCGCGGTTGGGGTTTAATGAATAAATTCAGCTTTCAGGAATACACTGCGTAGTACGTTAAAGGTTTTCCAATGAATCGGTAAACACTGCGGTTACCATTTTCAGGGCTAGTGTCTTTGGGAGACTGGAGATTGCAAGATCTCCGTAAGGTCCTCCGAAACCCAACCAAAGACCCCAGCGCAATTGCGACGTCTACCGAAATAATAGAAAACTTCCAATATTATATGCGGCCTATTCCGAAATGCAAGGTCGTACAATATGAACATCAATTTGTTAAAAAAAACAATAAATGAAAGAAATCGTCATCTTTCTTAAAAAAAGAGTTAGACCACCAGAGGCTGTTCCGAGACTCGAACACAGAATGGGTAATATTTTCACGTCTTCCTGCTTCTTTTCTTAAGGTCTGTAATAATTTGCTGTCATAGATAATTTTGTCTTAACTGTTCTCTCCCAATTCTTTCATCATTTTCTCTTGGTGCCTTCTGTTGTGCTAGGTCAGACATTTGTAAAAATCACAACCCTGTACAAAAACAGACTGAAACCCAACTAAGCTAGAATATGTGAATTGGATTAATTGCCACGTGTACAGTTAAACTGACACTGAAGGTGCAGTGTTAATAACAACACTTTAATTTTGAAGATTCTCCACTAAAGGAATTCCAACACCTACAATACGAACTCTTTTATGTAGACTAGTTCCTGCCTACCCCCACAATTCCTATGTCAGACATGAGATTTTCACGGCAGTGACTATGGAGAGTGCCGTCATCTCGTACGTGACGCTGTATAGTCTGGTAGATACGTATCGACGTTTCGGAGCATCCTCCTTCCTCTCTCTTCACGGTAGAATGATGTACTCTACCAAACTACTTAGTGTTACATCCAAGAAGAGAGGAATCTTCAATTCTTGTATAGTTTCCTTCTGTCAGGTAATATGCCGTGTGGCCCAGGCTTCTCTTTTGCTTTCACGGTATTTTTATTTAATAATTTATTCTTACTAGTTTATCAACACAAAGGGTGACAAACTTGTAAGATTTGAGGCTTTCACGGCGGTGACTATGAAGAAAGCAGTCTTCGAAATATATGTATAAAACACTACGGTAGTGGGTTTGGTAACAATTCTTATTTATTAACCAAGTTAAGGCCTACATACAGAGTGTCTCAGGAGGTAAGGTCAATATTCTGGGAGGTCATAGTATCGGTCATTCTAAGCAAAAAAGTGTATATGTACATGTATCCTATTCCGAGCGGTTTCCGAGGTAGAGCTATTTCACTGTGCAGTACACTGTACACTGTACAGACAAGCAACACGCCATGCCCTCACACGAGTTGCAAAGTGCATTGATGTTGACGGTGGAATTTTTGGAAATATATTATACTAAGTAAACTTTGTCACTTGAACAATAAATACCGGTATTAGAAACAGCACGTAATGTCTGTTTCTTATCAACAATTTTCGAACTGTACAGTGAAATGGCTCTATTTCGGAAAAACTTTCGGAACAGGACACATGTACACACACAATTTTTCCTTAGAATAAACAACACTGTGACCTCCCAGAATAATGACATTTCCTCTTGGGACTATCTGTATAGCCTTGCAAACTTACACAAACATAAGCAATACTGATCACAACAGAGCTGTAGAAAATTTATAAGATGAATAATATGTGTTGATTAATTATTATTATTATTTTTACTTCTCATTATAAGGTAAACAGCCCAAGAGTAAAGCCCAAAGGTTAACCCTAAGGCGCATCTCATATCATCATCATGGAAAGTACATTTGAAATTAAATTATGCGTCATATCGTCATTTTAATTATCATTATCATTAGTAGTAGCAGTATAAGTATACTAATTTGCACAGTGAAAGATGTTAACTGTGTCATTCCTTAAACGGAAGACTAAATTGCTGGATTGTGTTATTGTTATGCAATTCAACCATAGACGCCGAGGGCGGGGGGAAAAGTAATCAGACACCCCCCACCGGAGTTTGGGGGGAGGAGGACCGAAATGATCAGAAAGATATAGCAAATATTTGTAATAAAAATTAAAAGCATTTTTAAAAATAGTAAAAATGTAGTCTTCAACAGTTTAAATATAAGTTTTAAACAAAATTTCCGGCTGTTCTCCAGGAAAACTAGTTAACCTCGCCAGGAATAAATCCGGGAGGCGATATTTAGCAGCATAAATTTAAAAACAATGAAAAAAATATGGTAAATATGGGCACATTTTGATATATATCTACATGTATTACAGTGTAGTATTATTTTTAAGATGTAGATTGTAAATTTTTATGTGCTTTTATGACGGCACAAAGATGTCCAATCTTAATGTCTGCTGAGATGAGAGGACACATAAAATTGAAATGAGTTGTACGTTCTTAAATCTCGTGTCTGACTTGATAAGAATATTTGTTAATTATAATGAATAAATTAGGGAAATGCAGGAATCATTAAGATGAACCATTTAAAAATATTGTGGACCTACAAGTGCTGCTACCTAGGGATTTATTCGAAAAGGCCAAGTAACAAGCGGAAACGTGTAACCTCAAATGTACGTTATATGGGATAGGTTCACTGTTACATCATCCCGAAACTTTCGCTTTCAGTATTTCCAAGTGAAGACGATGCTCACATAGCTTTGAATTATGTAACCACAATGAAAAAGGATATACACGAAGAACTTAGGTGAAACGTGTCTTTATCTTTCCCCCTCTCACAGGAGTAACAAGGTATGACATTGACTTACACTCAACCAATAGCGTTAAAGGTTATGTAGCCGCCAATGAACGTTTTCTTACAGCAGCTTGTGTAACACACGAGATCTTCTCCACGTACTTCTCGACATTTCAAAAAGTGGAATGTAATTAAGGCTACGCTCATCTCTTAAAAAATGTGGAGGGGGTCTTAAAGGTCTGTTGTATTTCTGGCCTTCGACAATTCCCCTCCTGAGGTGAAAGTCGATAGAGACAACGCAGTTCTCTATAAAGACTGCAACATCTTGAGTCACGACTTATTTGTTCCACAGACGCCCAGAACATTGCAGGCAGAGCTCTCTTCAGTTAGAAACAAGAAACTCTCTCAAGAGGTTTCTGATGTACCATCGCGATGGCTCCCTCGGAAGATATAATGCAATAATGAACAGGATAAGTGACGAAAGACTAGATGAGTTTCGCATTCTCCCCTATACAGAATTCATGTAAAACAATATTGGTAAAGGTGAATTTGTCCCTGTGTTTAATTAATAACGTATTATGCCATGAATACGTATGGTTAAGTGAAGGCACTATTCTTGACTATGGCACTAGACGGACATGAGTGGTCACCTTTCCGCCATCACCGCTTTATCCCATGGTACCCATTGGATAGGAGGCTGGGTGGGAAGCAAATTTGATCCGGGCTGTGTGGTGAAGAGAGAAAAATATTATGTCCCGTCCGGTACCGAACCCCGGCCGTTCAGCACATATTCCATCTCTATACCAACTCGGCTTCGGTAGTGACATTTTAGATCCACTATTCTTGACCTCGGGCTTAGGTGGAAGCGAGTTGTCCGCTTCTCTCTATAAATTTTGTTGGAAATATACAGGGTTACTACAAATGATTCATTCCATTTAAAAACACTATTTTGGTCGCCCAGTGCTTTTCCGTTTACACAGACAGCCAGTATCTTTAAAATGCCGATACCACTGCAGAATGCTCTGTTTACATGGTGGTTCTTTTCTGTGCACTGCTTTGAATGCACGCTGCATTGCAATAACAGACGAACATCCCGCATATTCCAACACACAGAAACTCTTTTCCAGCTTCGTCGCCATTTTGTGAGGCACTGCATTCGTGCTGCCAACTGGTGTATCACGATGCAAACTTGGCAAGTTTGCGGTTCTCTTCATTATAAGTCATATTTGTGTGTGTAATATTTTGGAGAATATAGTGTTTTGAAATGGAATGAATCGTTTGTAGTAAGCCTGTATTTCTCTTCGTTAATATTTAGCGTGGTATACGTAGAAACATATTTAGGCCTCCATGTAAAGTGGTCACTAAATATTTCCGATATAGACGAAAACTTCACTGGATAAACAATTTTTCATTAGATTCTAGTCAAACTCCATGAGAATTCCTTCAGCATTTATCGAGTGACTTCATGCGTAAAGGCGGACAGCCTGAGTGAGCTTAATAGGCTTTCCTCAAGGTCCAAAAGATAAAAGTCTGCAAATAGGTTTCCTTCCGTTGGTCTAGATAAATACAGAGGTCCACACCTAGTCCCTGAATCGAGAAATGAATAAATTTAAGATTGGAAATAATTATATTAGCAACTTCGTAAAGAATGGTCACGTATAAAGTTTTGACGTCATTAAATCAAGAATGACATAGGTTTGACATGAGTCA